TAGGGATAGGGATAGGGATAGGGATAGGGATAGGGATGGGGATAGGGTTAGGGCTAGGGGATAGGGCTAGGGATAGGGATAGGTATAGGGTTAGGGATGGGGATAGGGTTAGGGATAGGGATAGGGATAGGGATAGGGATAGGGTTAGGGATAGGGTTAGGATAGGGATAGGGATAGGGCTGGGGATAGGGATAGGGATAGGGATAGGGATAGGGATAGGGTTAGGGATAGGGTTAGGGATAGGGATAGGGTTAGGGATAGGGATAGGGAAGTTTAAAATCTGACGTCTTGCACTAAAACAGTCCTTGTTTTCACCGTAAGTTGCGAAAAAAAAATATTGGAAAACGATACCAATGTCGTAAAATGCTAAAATCAAACGATAAAGACCTTTATGACCACGTAGATTTCATGTTGAAATCTAACTTTTTTTTTTTGCCAAACATTTTTTATTCGCACGCTCGCATGAGTTTTGGGGTTCCAAGGGATGCCATCCATTTAAGGCCGCACATCACAGTATTCATGGGCGAACCCCGTAGTCAAAAGTAGTCCGGGCACAAAGTAGTGCTACACAATACTAGGGAAGGGTGCAGAGATTGTTTTGTGCATGGCATCAAGACAGAACCTGTGGTAAATGTTAGAGGAATACGTCAGTTTTGAGACTGTAAAAGTTGGATTATGGTGCGTGTTGAGTCGGCGTAGATTTGCGCTTGGATACTTGTCCCGCCTAGTACTGTGCGTCGGCTGCAGTTCCATGACCTCCGCAGTGGCGCTAATAAAAGAGGGCGCGAGAAGAGAACTAGCCGGCAAATTCAAGCTCATTTTCACATATTTTGTACACTCTACCCTGAAATTAAACATATCAGAATTCTGAACCTTGCTTGTGCACCCTAGTATGATTTTCCGTGAGTCGAAGTGAGTCACTTTGGGGTCCTTATATTACCAGATAAACATTGTCTTTCGATAGTCTGTTGTAAAAGCGCCCCTCACGACGTTTGTAAGCATTGCAAATCTTGCTCCGATAGCCTTGTAAAAGCGACCTCTAGAGGGCTCAATCAGTACTGCAGGTATATCAGTGCTCTCCAAGCAAAGCAGACGGCACAGACTGTCAACGTTCTGGATTTGTCTGATATCACTGGTTTTGCCAACTGAAAGCGATTTTGTTAAGAAATATATTACATCAAGTCTGCAAGGATATATTCAAAACTTTCCCGCCACGTTCGAGGGATCCAGAAAGATGAAGAAATACACCTGCATCGAATGTGGGAGGGGGGCAGAAGAGCTGTACAGAGACTTCGGAGGCGGCAATTTGAAAATCTCCCACTGCGTGAGTAGAGTCAGAGACTTAACGTTAGTTGCTGTTTTTCGTATACTTACGAGTTAGGGTTATGAATTATCTTAATACACAACTGATATGTATTGAGCTAGTGTTGGTATGATGATTGACACATGTATGCACAACCCGGAAGTGCTGCTGTTGTCAACAAAATCTGTACCATAAGAATTCCTCGGATGCATACAACATAGCAACTGCAAATAATCACTGTGCACCTAAACTAAGATTTTCTTACTAGTGTCTGTCTGTCTGCCTGACAGTTTTTTTCTCTCAGCGCGCACTTGGACCACTGTTACAATATACAATTTGTTTTATTGAATCTCCAAGTGCAAGCAGATGTAAAGGCTGATGCTCGATATTCTTCTCAACATTTAGTACATCTTTCTTGTATTGGACTTTTACGACTTTTTACCTCAGTAGTATGTTGAAGTTTGTCCCTGCTCTACAGTTTATCTTGTTTTCTCTCCCCAGGACCACTGTGACCAGGTGGTGGATAAGTATGTAGAGTTTGACCCTGTCCTGGTGTTACTGGATGCACTTCTACACAAACCACAGGCTTACAGACACATCCTACTCAACAGTGGCATACAGGTACACAGAGTTAGAAATATATCATATCAACAAACAAACAAACAAACAAGGATGTAGTTAATTTTTTTGAGAATGAACACTGTTGAATCAAGAAGGTATAAAATCAGAGGTTGAATGTAGTGTTATCAATGGCTTTTTTAGATATAACATAGAATTGACCTTGGAGTTATATGATACCTACCTACATGTACCGGCTCCCTAGTAGTCTGCCACTCTTGGGTGGCGGACTTTGTAGGGAGCCCCCCAGAGCTTGGGTTTCACAGGCTAATACCTACCATGGAGGTAGAATCTCCCTCCATGAATTGACACAAACAGGATTTCTAACATTGGAGAATTGGTTCCTACAAAATGAAATCAAGTGCTAACACTCAGATCACATTTCGAATGATACAATGATATTCCTGATTTGCAAACCTCCATCCTCCAGTTCCACTGGAGACTGGCCGTGATCTGTCTCCTGTGCGATGCTTACATCAAGTGGGCTCACCTGTAGTCAGCCGACTCCACTGACACACAACAGCACATGGGCTTCTACGCTCTGGAGTGGGACTTCTACCTCATGTTCCTCCTGGCAATGATCGGTCAGTTCAAGGGTTTCTAGCCTGGGGGCCAGTGTTGTTAACTTTTTAAGTGCCATCACTTGGAGCAGACTGAAGCTAAGGTTCAAGCCAGGGATTCAGGTTGAGAGTTTTCCCCAGTATCTAATTTATTGAGGGAATATAAGTTATTATAACAGCAATTCAATGACTAGACTAAGAGCTAGGCCATTCTAGACAAAACAGGCATGTCTGTTATGATTTAATGCTTTTAGCGTTAAGTAGATTAGACTTGGATGAGATCAAGCTAGGAGGGAAGTGCGGGTTTTCTGCATTGTTGAAATAAAATCAGAGGTCCATTTTGCATCCTCTTCCCTTCCAGAGTTGGCAGTGTTCCTTGGGTGCTGTATGTTGCTGCTGCAGGTCAGCAGGATTTTACCATCTAATGAAGTGAGGTAGGTCATCAGAAACTACAGGGGGTTTTATCCCACAAATTTAGTATCATTTGATTAACCAGTTTGAAAGTGACAAAGATGATTTAAAACTAAAACTAAAAACATGCCAGGATACAGATACAAATATGTTAGCATATGGATAGTGTTCAGCACCAAGGACAGAAATGTTTGTCTACGTGTATATGTTTTGTGTGTACAAACATGGAAATCAACCCCTTGTTCTTTGAGTTACACACAAAGCTAAAAGTATATATAATACTTCTTTTCTTAGGTTTTCTTCCGTGGTTCGTGCTCTGCTACTGTCCAGTTTTGGGAAGTTACTGGTTATTCCAGCAGTCATCTGGGGCGAGACCAACAGCACAGTGTACCTGGGGCTCACTAGACTGTTTGTCTTCACATGTAACTCACTGGCTATGAGAGGTAAGCAAACACTCATCTATTTGATTTTAAAATACACTGTTCCCATTGTTAGTATTATGATAGTGTTCAGCGCCAACGCCGCCAAGGACAGAAATGTTTGTCTTTTTTTTTTTTTAACAGTGTCGCTCAATGCAAGGCCAATTATTTTTGGCCACTTCTAGGCATAGAGCTAGAGGTACTTAAGTCAGTATAATGTAGTTATGTCAGGAGATGGCGGTGGACCTTTGTTTTGAAGCTTTGTAGATTGTAATCGGACGGAAAGCAGCTGTTTGGAAGAGAGTTACATAATTTTGCAGTCCAGGGAAGGAAGCTGTTGTTGTAAAATGACTTGGAGACAGTTAACGTTGTATTGATGAGAACTGGAAGAAAACCTAGTGGCACGCTGAAAGGTTCCGAAACCAGGTAAGCTGCTATCAAACACTCATCTCTGTGACTTTACACTGTACCAATTGTCACGGTGGGTTGGCATCCTTCCCATGCCTTTATGAACTGGGGATCAGAAAAATTATCTTCACTTATGGATAGTGTTCAGCACCAAGGACAGGAATGTTTGCCTATGTGTATGTTTTGTGTGTACAAACATGTGTATGATTATGTTTTATCAGTGCAAATTTGATACTATATTGTACATGTATAACCAGCAATATATTTAAAGGTTAAACTCATGTTGCAGTTTTATTTTTGTTTTTCATACAGTTACCATGGATACTAGACAAGACGTCGCATGCGGCCTGGTTGCTACAAGCCTGCTTGTACAGTACCTCACATCCCTGTCCATCCACAAGTTATTACATATTCCAACATGATGTTATGATGCTGCTGGTTATAACTGTTAAACTGATTTATTTATTCAGTAGTTGAGTTTGAATTTCCTATGAATATTGTTTGCCTGGATGTCTAACCATCATCAATGTAACTGATAAACTGCTGTGAGGTGTAACACACCAGTTCTGTTTTATGAAGTACAATTGCAAGCCGTGTATGACAGGACTGAATGGATCTGTCCACTCACACAGGAAGGACCCTACCCTTATCGATATGTGTGATGGGTTCTTTAAGATGTGTCACAGAAAATGCACAGGACCTCCCGTTTGTATACATGTAGATTACCAATCTGGACAACAAGTCAATAAAAACAAATCTTTCTTCACCATCTTAAAATTTTTTATTCCATACTTTCCTTCCTTTTTTTATACATGTGCCAGCCCTCTCCATAGGCCTTCACCTCAGAACTGAAAATGCTTACAGCATTTGACAATAAAACATCTTGATTGAAAACCATTCATGTCTCAGTCATGTTGCTTGACCACCTGTCCAAGGTGACCACTTTTCTATTGTCCTTTGGGTGTTCACCTTTAGCAGCTTTGACTGTACTTTCATTAATCTACATGGTATACTGTTATGTACAACTATATCCATCTGTTATGTACAATTATATCCATCCATCCATCCATCCATCCATCCATCCATACATACATACATACATACATACATACATACATACATACATACATCCATACATACATACATACATGCATGCATGCATGCATACATACATACATACATACATACATACATACATACATACATGGTGGCATAGCATTAATTTAACACAATAGGAAAGTATATGAATTCATACATTTATATACTTTCCTATTGTGTTAAATTACTGCTACTCCACTTTAAAGGGAATCTACATCTACGTAGCCGGAGTGTCGGTCTTCTTCGTGACACGTCTCCTCCAGAATCTTCGCCTCTTGCCTTCCGCTGCAGGGGTCTTCTTGCCTTCCGCTGCAGGGGTCTTCTTGCCTTCCGCTGCAGGGGTCTGCCTGGATGCCTTGTCCTTGGCATCATGGGTGGCAGCCTTTGTGGACTTCCTGCGCCGGAACAGGCGTCTCCAGAGCCCCCGGAAGCATCCGTAGCTCTTTTCTCCAGACTTGTCCTCTGGAAGCTCATCAGGCGACAAAGCAGGGCCCAGGTCTTCCATCTTTGCAGTGGGCACTGCCACTGGGCCTAGGTCCTCCTGCTTTGCAGTGGGCACTGCCACAGGGCCCAGGTCTTCCATCTTTGCAGTGGGCACTGCCACAGGGCCCAGGTCTTCTATCTTTGCAGTGGGCACTGCCACGGGGCCCAGGTCTTCCTGCTTTGCAGTTGGCAGCAAAGCACGGATCATTTTTTCACCTTGCTCCCCAGTCCCAATGTTCGGTGATCCAGATACGATCAGTACATTGTTCAGAGTGCCGAACACATTCAAGGTCGTTGGCTGTGGTGAAAGGAAAAAAGTAGCCATTAGTTTAAAGTAGAGCTCTTGTCCGTGCAAAACAGCCTTTATCTTGTGCGTATATACCGGTTTGAATGTG